GCCCATCCTTCTTCAGAAGGCAGCATCCACTCATCTACAGGAGTGAGCAGAAGGTTGGGTTATCTGTCTGTCCTCTCAGGGCCTCCCCTGGTATTGTGGGTCTGCCTCTGTGAACCCCAAGTCACCCACTGGACACTTGAGAAGCTAATGGTCCCTCTTCTCTGAGGCCAGTGACTAGATGAGTATTCCTTTGCTACCCCATCTTGTTGGGCTTCCTAAAATAGCCACATCACGCTGAACAGGCATGAGCTGAATTCTCTACTGAAGGGTTCCAACGATTGTGGGTACTGAAGGGTTCTTCCCCTATTCTGACATAGAGGGAGAAAAACCAAATTTCTTATTAATTTAAACTTTCCCCTTAATCTTAAAGGAAAGGCACTTACAACTAAGTCAATTGTAAGCAGGGGTCCCTTTACACCTGACCTATTTCACCAAACCCTGAGTTTCTCCCATATCTTGGCAAGTCCAGGTCTTCAGATCTCTACCCAACTTCTTTGGGAATCCTCTTTCCCTCTTTACTTGAAGTTTCTAACTTCTATCCTTCTGATACCCCTGCCTTGGGACATTCACTCTCGAATTTTTCCCATTCAGCCATCCTCCCTTCTTCAAACCCTCTCAGGGCCACTCAAATCCTAGGGACCAGCCAGGACCAAGGAGAGAGAAGTTCCAAGCCCTGCAGCCCATGGGCAGCAGTGGATAAGGATCTTTCTCTTTGGATTTCTTTTCAACATTCCCATCAGTGTGAGCTGCAAACATATGGGCTCCATGATCTAGTAGAGCTATTAAATTATGAATATACATTTCTCCCCAAGACAGTCACTAATTTTGGGAGATAGCATTGTCTAAACCACGCAAGACAAATCCAACCGCTTAGTGGTTGCGCTGGAGGTAGCCCATCCTAGCCGACCAAGAGCTGGTTGATACATTTTTAGGAATTTTGCAAGCCGGCTGTTAAACATTGCCATTCTGAAGTAGTAAATTATATAAACACAAGCAAATATATCATATGAGAAACCAATTTAATAAATACTAAAAACGCAGTACTTTCTAATGGTTTTACTCTACTATTACCCACGGTCTTGAAGTTATTTCCATCTCTTGCCTCGGTGTGGTGGGTACGGTGTGTTTGCTACTGCAGCACATCACCATCCAACTCCACATTTAGTGACATCACACTGGGAGCTCGAAGTCAGCCACGGTGGGAATATTGACACCATGGAAATTGGCAAACGTCCCCCACCGGAGCTCCCCTCCCCCCCACCCAGAGCTGGTTGGTAAACCTTTCGCAGCTCTTCACTGAGAAAGGCCACATGTCCTCAACAGGCATGGCACTCCTCCACCTTCCTCAGGATGCCACGTCATTTTGCAGGGCTGCACTTGGCCTCTTGCCCGCCCTGCCTGGCGCCTTTTAGAACTAACAGCTCCTAATGGAAGCTGCCTTAATTACTCAAGGAAGGACTGAGTCACTATCTTAGGAGAAGGGAGAGTTGACAGTTGGTTCTGGAAATGAGAGGTGTGTGTTGAGTGCTCGGTGAGCACGGGCCCTAGCTCAGCCTGGGGGAGCAGACTTAGGGCAGGTTTGCCTGGGGAAGCGGTGCTGGGGCTAAGGGGGACTTCATATTCCTGGAGGGTGTGGGGCTTGTGTGGCAGGCTGGGTAAAGTCAGAGGATAAACCTGGTGCCTCTCTCTAGAGCATCAGCTTACTCAGTGGTAAGTAACCAAAAACACTGTTCTAACAATGAAACACGCATGCAGGGGTGCCTGGGTGGCTCAGTCGTTAAGCGTCTGCCTTCGGCTCAGGTCATGATCCCAGGGTCCTGGGATCGAGCCCCGCATCGGGCTCCC